ATTATTTGTTATTATTAAAGTTTAACACAAAAAAAAAAAAAAAAAAAAAAAAAACAAACCAAACAAACAAAAACTAAAAATATACCAAAACATTAAAAATGTCACTTACTGGAAGGCCTCTTAATGCCTTGTTAGATTGTACTGTCTTGTGATTCAAGCAAGCTAAAGGAATGGTGAAAAGTGTTCTCTTTTGTTATATATCTGACCTATTTCCTACCTGTGCTTCAAACTCAGTTCAGAAGTCACTAGTGGAGGCATCACCACCTGCTTCCAACCACAGCTAATACCTGAGTTAGGTTTCTGTTATTTACCAGTTTGTACTGTAATGCTTTCATGGGTCAGGTAAAATCAGAAAGTATTCTTCTTTGTATTCTTTGGTTTTTGTATAGAGAATTTATGTATTCTTGGTTTTTGTGTAATAAAGGGACTCAAGTAATGTTCGACATTAAGTGATACCACCACTACTTCATTCCTTGCCTGTTTGTGATAAATTTTAGTAACATTCCTAAAACTATCATCATGTTGATTAAAAATTATCTAACCACAGCCTCACATTATTAACGTTACTCAAATGGTGCTTGTAGGAAATATAAAGTAGAAAATGATCTCTGCCCACTTTACCTATGGACACATGATAGATGTGCAAAAAAAAAAATTAGAAATTAAGCAAAAAATAATACAATAGTAATTTAACTAAAAGGAAAAAGGGCAAAACTCATCTTTTGTCATTTACAGTACTTTATAATATTACTCATTAAATTTTATTTGCTTGATAAGTCTTCAGGGATATGAGAAATGAGAGTTACTGTAGAGTATGACAGCTACCTTGTTTCCCTGAAAATAAGACACTGTCTTGGCTCGGTGCCTATGGCTCAAGTGGCTAAGGCGCCAGCCACATACACCTAAGGTGGCAGGTTCGAATCCAGCCCAGGCCCGCCAAAACAACAAGGGCTGCAACCAAAAAAAAATAGCCGGGTGCTGTGGCGGGCGCCTGTTATCCCAGCTACTTGGGAGGCAGAGGCAGGAGACCCGCTTGAGCCCAGGAGTTGGAGGTTGCTGTGAGCTGTGATGATACAGCACTCTACCCAGGGGGGATAGCTTGAAGCCCTGTCT